AGTACTGTTTCAGCTTTGTGTAGCCTTTGCTACCAATTCTCATGAGAGCTACTGAAAACTTCCATGTTACTGTTGTTACTATAACTATATAGACAGCCCTTTCTGTTAAAGTCATTGTATTAAACCCTCACAGACATATTATGGAAGCTGCACTGTAGTGTCAACCGAGAACATGTTCTGTGAGGGGTGTTAAGAGCGCAGTGAGAAATTAAGTGGGGATTTTGGCTAGTAATCAGGTTTTTTTTTATTGTTTTTGATTATTTTTCAATTACTCTTACAGTGTTTTCTTTGAGTATTTGTTTTTACTTCTATATAACATGATCATAGGGTGTGCTTTAAATTACTTGTAGAATTTTTATTAAAATTTCAAAATTATTATTCCACTTTAAAATCATTCAGACTCAGTAAATAAAATTAAAACTTTCATCAATGTGTATATATTTCGATGAGCAATTTAATTAAAAATTCATAGATTTTCGTCATAACTTGGAAGTCGAAACATACCTGAGTTCTAAGTATCTTTTTTTTTCTTTTTCTTTTTTTTTATTGCGAAAAGAAGAAAAAAAAACATAAACAAAAACAAGTTTCCACCTCCTCCCAGCCTCCCATTTCCCTTCCCCTCCTCCCACCCTTCTCCCCCTCCTCCCACCCTTCTCCCCCTCCCCCCACTCCTCTCCCCCTCCCTCTCCAGTCCACAGAGCAGTCCGGGTTCCCTGCCCTGTGTTAAGTCCTAGGTCCTCCCCCCTCCATCCATATCTAGGAAGGTGAACATCCAAACTGGCTAGGCTCCCACAAAGCCAGCACATTAAGTAGGATCAAAACCCCCTGCCATTGTCCTTGGTGTCTCATCAGCCCTCATTGTTCGCCATGTTCAGAGAGTCCGGTTTTATCCCATGCTTTTTCGGTCACAGTCCAGCTGGCCTTGGTGAGCTCCCAGTAGATCAGCTCCACTGTCTCAGTGGGTGGATGCACGCCTAGTGGTCCCGAATTCTTTGCTCATGTTCTCCCTCCTTCTGCTCCTCCTTGGGACCTTGGGAGCTCAGTCCAGTGCTCCTGTGTGGGTCTCTGTCTCTATCTCTATCCATCACCAGATGAAGATTCTATGATGATATGCAAGATATTCGTCAGTATTGCTCTAGGATAGGGTCATTTCAGGTTCCCAATCCTCAGCTGCCCAAGGAACTAACTGGGAACCTCATCTTGGGCACTAGGGAGCCCCTCTAGGGTCAAGTCTCTTGCCCACCCTAAAGTGGCTCCCTTAACTAAGAATTGTGGTTCCGTGCTCCCCTATCCACCTTTCCTTTATCCCAATTCTCCTGTTTCCCCAGGTCCCCCCTCCTTCCCTTCTACCTTTTCTCTCCCCATCTCCCCTTACCCCCATCCCACCCCACCCCCAAGATCCCATTTTCTCCCCGGCATTTTGGTCTACTTCCCTTAGCCAAGAGGACAACTATATGTTTTTCCTTGGGTTCACCTTCTTACTTGAGTTCTAAGTATCTTTTAAGTTAGAGATTTTTAATGCTGTTTAAGTGTCATCTGACTGGATAAGAAAGAAATAGTAAGATTAAAATGACATTTAGCTATAGAACTAGAACAATTGAGTACTTGTTACAGTTTGTGAGGAACAGATATTTAAATCCAAGAACCCACACCAGGACTATCTTGTTAGGGTTTCTGTTGCTGTGAAGAAACACCATGACCATAGTAAATCTTTATGAAAGAAAACATTAATTGGATGGCTTACAGTTTCAGAGGTTTATTCCATTATTATCTTGGCGGGACCAGGTGGCATGTAGGCAGACACAGTGGTGGAGAAGGAGCTGAGAGTGGAGAAAGAGCTACATCTTGATCCCACAGACAACAGGAAATAGACTGAGACACTGGGCATAGCTTGAGCATTTATAAAACCTCCAAGCTCACCTCCACAATTTCTCCAACAAGGCCACACCTACTCCAGAAAAGCCATACTTTCTAATAGTGCCACTCCCAATTAGCTTATGGGATCCAGTTACATTCAAACTACCACAAGGACCTTCCAGAAAGGTCTATAATCCCAGCTCCCAGGAATCTGACACCCTTCTCTGGCCAATTTAGCTTATGCATATTTCATATATATTCATTCTCATCCTCTCTCCTCCTCCTCCTCCTCCTCCTCCTCCTCCCTCCCCCTCTTCCTCTCTCTCCTCCCCCCCCACGCATGCAAACAAGTTAATTTATAAATAACTTTGGAAAAGAATCTTTGAGTATGGTACTTATGGACAACAAATTGAAGATACTGTTTTCTTGTATAGTATGTTTACTAAGGAAATACATTTTGGTCTAATACAAATTTTAAGAGTTTAAAATTTATATGTATTTTTAATTTGAGACATACTATAATATGGTTGGATATCTTATTAGTGTAAAGCCAAAACTTTGGATCACATCTGTAAATCTAGCCAAGGACTAGAGTATAATCCAGACATTTTCTGATAGTTATACTGTGATATAAAATTCATCCATGTTAATAACTGTCACTCACTTCGGAGTTTTGTTGTCATTGTGAAAATTCCTTCATTTCATTTTCATTCCACGTCTTATATTATGGAAATGTCTTAACTGCTTACAAGTACAAGAGACTTTCAGTGCTCTCTTGGTATTTTGCTAAAGATGAATGGCCTCAGCCACCTTCACTCCTTACTCTGTATCCCTAGGTTATATATCAGCTTCCAAAATCTATTCTCACTGTGTTATGATCATCACAATTTATTGCTATTCTTCTCTCAGTTTCCAGGCATAAGTGTTCCAGAAATTCTGAAAACTCCAGTGACTAAAACTGAATTTGTATCTTCTAAACTGCTTTCCTATTTGCATTATCAGTGGTTTATTACTATTCTTTGTTTTTATAATCTGTATTTCCAATATAATATCATGATATTATGTCTTCCTCATTCCTATTGCTATAATTTTAATTTTAGTCTTAATTTTTTCTTACAAGTTTTTATTTTTGTTAAATCTTAGCTATAATTTTAACTCCTATTTCCTGGTGCTTTCCCTGATATTATTGAGATTGCATTCTCAAAACTAATAAAATTGTTTTAATTTTTAGTCTTTAAACAGTACAAGACACATCTGATATATTTTTAATTTTGATTATTCAGTGTTGGAATGAATATTAATTCCCTAATTCTCAAGAGTAATTTTTTTTAATTCTTGAGAAAACCTGACAAATAAGCAAAACTAAACCTACTTAATAAGTATAGGAATGACTATAATATAACATTACATTATTGGATATGTGTATTTTTGCCTATTTAAATGAATATTGGACAGTGCAGAATTTAAATAAAAACGTTAACTTTTTGTAAATTAATGCATACACTTCATAAGTTTCTTTGCCTCTGAAAGTATAGTGAAATGATTCTGAAATTAATCTGGAAAGTTAGTGAAATCATGTTCATATCATAGAATTCTTCTGCATTCACGAGACTGGCAACTGTTTAATCACAAACCCAAGATCTGAATTTATTACTGGGAACCTTTTCATGATTGTTCACCCTGATGTTTGGACAAACTTGCAGCAGGTTTGATCTGTGTGTAGGACAGTATCTCTGAAACAACATCCCTTTATGTTTTCAATAGCTTGTCCCATGAGGCTTCCTGAGCTGCATGCTGATTTCAGGACTGCCATTTCTGTTCAGTTTCTTATTGATGCAACCGTTTAAAATATAGAAGCAAACATCAACGATTTTGGCAAATTAGTATAATGTAAATCACATAAAATCTCTTAATGACTTAGTTTTCATCTCTAAAATGATTTTAAGTTATGCTAGGAGACTGTGACATATGCCTTTAATCCCAGCACTCAAGAGACAGGGCATGTTGGGTCTCAGAGTTCAAGGCCAGCCTGGTCTACAGAGTTCCAAGTCAGCCTGGGCTAAACAGAGAAATCCTGTCTTTTGCCTCATTCCCTCCAAAAACATTTTACGTTAAAGACTGTTTTACATGCATGCATGCTTATATACAAATTAAGATCAAGTACATTTTCCAATGCTTTTTAGAATTATTCTGTGAAATACTTCATCATATTAACTTTTGTCATTGGAATTGAACCTTTTAAAACTATTTATTCATATCCCCAAACCTTGTGTATGTGTGTGTTTGTCTTTTTCTGTGTCTATATCTGCAGGCACACTCCAATGCATGTCACATTGTAGGTGTAGAAGTCAGAGGACAGGTTGCTAGAGTTGGTTATCTTTTGTTATGTGAGTTTCAGGAATCAAATTTCGGGTATCAGACTGGTGTCAATCACCATACTGACCCAGATTTGTCATTTAAAGATATTTTTCTTTTCAACCATTTTAATTAGTAACGTGCACAATTCCTGTTGATGAAGATAAATAGATGTTTCTGATCTGTTTTACAAGTGGAAATTAATATTGATTCACAAAAATTAGGCAAAAGTTTCTAAAATTATTGATAGCAGAGCACATATAGACTAATTTCTTGTGGTAGACTATGGTATATAAAGAATGTATCCCTCTGAAATAATCACTTGACATATTTCACATTTTAAATATTTCACAATCTTGTATGTAATTTATAATAATTTTTTAGCTAATTTAAATATTTTGAACATTTCTTTATTGAAATGTCAAAAAGGCATTAAAATGACTTTTTTAAGGACAATAATAATTTATAAGGAAATAGCAGGATTCTTTTCTTGTATGTAGTTTGAGAGCTAGCAATGAATGTATAGTGGGAATTTGATGTGACATTTTTGATCGCTTTAAGAAATTAGTTGAGTTATGCTCTTTAAGACATGTGTTTTAGACTGTCGGACAGGTTTGTTTTTAAGAAATGGGATTGTTTTGATATGTGCTAAAGAAAACAACAGGTGTATATGGATATTGCGTATGAGCTGTTTTGTGCTGTGCATGTTCAGATAGACCCATGGATCTTTGATTAGCTTCTTACCTGCACATGAAACCTTTTGATTAGACCAATTTCTTTCATTACAGAAACACCTGCTACATTTCCAGACACTGTAAAGGAGAAGGAAACACCAACCCCTGGTGAAGATATTCAGCTTGAAAGTTCAGTTCCTCACACAGATTCCGGAATGGGAGAGGAGCAAGTGGCTAGCATCTTGGATAGGGCAGATCTAGAGACTGCTGCAGGTCCTGATGCAATGAGTGAGCTTTTATCCACTTTGTCATCTGAAGTAAAGAAATCACATGAGAGCTTAACTGAACACCCCAGTGAAATGTTGAAGCCCGCAACATCCATATCTAGCATTAGTCAAACCAAAGGCATTAACGTCAAGGAAATACTAAAAAGTCTTGTGGCTGCCCCAGTTGAGATTGCTGAATGTGGCCCTGAGCCTATTCCATACCCAGATCCAGCACTGAAGAGAGAAGCGCAAGCCATTCTTCCTATGCAGTTTCATTCCTTTGACAGGTATGTACCGAGCTTATTATCCATGATGCTCTATCCATAGAAGAAATATTAAAATCTATTAATTTGGGAAACAGTAGGAGGGTCTCGAGAACTTGTTACTTACTATTGCCAGTTCATATTACAAACATATCGTCAAACTATAAGTGCACAGGATTGAACCTGGGATGAGGCATGATGTGGCGATTAGCACATTGCACTAGAAATGGTGAACTTAGCATTGTGTTTATTCTGCCACTGAAGAATTGCCGCATGTTGGGGAAATTTGTTTTTCTCGTTTGCTTTTCCTGACTTTCAAATTCTATTATACTATAAAATATTGTAATAATTACTGAAGATGAAATAACTCACTTTAAGTAGGCACGTTTAATTTTAAACTTTAAGTTGATCTTTACTGAAAACTACAAAAGGCTTGTGATTGTTTTTCTATAATAATTCTGCCATCAGTATAAAAGGTTTATTTTGCCAGATATTTGGAAATAAATATTCTTGAAAGGCCTTTTCTGACTTTAAACTACTTCGAACCTGGCCCATATATCTACATTTAAATATAAAATCGTTCAAGGAATTTAGAAGTAACTGATTCCTTTTTCTAATGCCACTATATATACAATTAAATAATTCAGAGAATCAAAATAAAATGTTGTAGATATGAAGAATTCTTGTATTTAATATATCTTATAATTGAATTCAAGTTCAGCATCAGAAAAATACTGCAAGTGTTCACTGATTATCATCAAGAGTGTCTGAGTGCTGGTTTTTACTTTATACTGTGTCCTTCCAGTTATGTTTATGTGTTGATATTTAAACCAAAGGTGTTGGCTTACTGTATGGATTAAATGTTTGTTGGTGATATTTAAAACATATCTTCATACCAAAAATTGTGTGTGAAAGAGTTGATTGATCAGCAAGTGCTTTTGGCTTTAGTGATAAAGATTTAGTTTAGGAATCAATGTTTCTGAAACTAAAACATCAAGATCAATATATAGGCAAAATAATATAGGTAATATTAATTTATTACTGAGTTTTAGATAATGTAGTTTTCACCAATAACCATCATAAAAAGATGTGTCATGTTAAAAGTTCCTAATAAGTGGCAAATTGTAAGATTATGAAATGTAGAAAATGTTTTTCTGACAAGTCTTTATCAAATAGTTGTTAAGTCTGTGTTCTCATGTTTATTCATACAGTGATTGCTCCTTCTGGTCTTTCATACTACATCTCTATTTCACATATCCAATTTATGTTTACAGGATATGAGTGCATTTGTGCCTATGAGTGTGTGTGTTAATGTATGCCTTCTATATGCACATGAGACACATCAGTGTCTATATACTAAATAACAAATTAATAAGGTAATTGAAGTTGTGCAATTTAATATTATATCTTTAAATTTTATCAAAATAGAAATTAATAAATCTAGGGAATTACTGAGATTTTTCAGAAGAGGCTTCAGTGTAATTAAATAAATTTGTTAATTTATATTTTTATTCATTTTTTCATTAAAAATTGCAAGTGGCAACTGAATGGTCACTGTTCTTAGCTGTACATAATTTGAACTTTTCAAATACTGTTTTGAAACCATAGTACTTTTCCTTTGTTCCTGGTAACATTTATGTAAAATGTAGTAGGAGTGGACTCATTATTCTTACTTGTGTAAGTAGAATGAAATAGAGGAGCACAAAGCTTGTTTTTTATGTTTTTCTTCTTTTGGGAAAGAGTCTCCAGTGTAGTTAATATATGCAGTAGCTCAAGTACTAGCAAATGTAAATGATGAGGTGATATTGATGAAAGGAGGGGATTGAGGTCTCAGGGGGCACTGATGACGGATTGAACAGAAGCGGCCTTGCACTGCACGTAACTCAAGTCTGTCGTCTTCACTGCTCAAAGCCATAATGGGAGGTGGCAGTCTGAAATGAGTTGCCACGGCGAGGAGTATTATTTTTGAAATGCTTTCACACAAATCACTAGGCCCTGCATACAACTTAGTTTCATGCTTTAATGTCATCAGCAGGCACAAATTGGTGTGTCTAATTGTTTGCCACCTGCCAGCAAAATGAGCTGCCAGCCAGCCAGACGGGTTTGATTGTCTGTCAGCCATTCAATAGATCGAGAGTGACAACATCAAAATTTTAACTTCAAACTCTGAACCTTTGATCAGCTTTTCAGAGACATCACCCCCACAAGAACTCCTGGACTGCTGCTGCACTTTCAATTTTATTTCCAGCATATTGCTTATTTACCTTATCTATCTTAAGGTAGCTGTAATTACATTATGAGGTATATAAACATATTACTGGAACACTGAAGTCTGAAATCCGAGTTATGGCATGTCTCTAACAACAGATTGAATCCTTGAGAGGTGGGGCTAAGGTGACAGCTTTAGAGTGAAAGTCCAGAAAACCCCAGTGTCAGACAGTCACCACAAGGCTTGTTCTTTACATAGAGTATTTGCTCTTACTTTTAGTTGAAATAGCTATAAATTCAGTTGCTGAACTCAAACTAGCACTATGTAATTAACTGGAAAGCAATCATCTGAACTCAAACTAGCACTATGAAATTATACTTGAGATCATCTGTGATATTTCTTTTGCTACCCAGTTGCTTATTGGTCTGCTATAGTCATTGCAGTCATGTACTTTTTATGCTTACTCTAGACTATAAAATGACTTGCTAAAATAAAACTGGAGAGACTAGTGTTCTGGTCACCATCTACACTTTCACTCATCTTTCCACTTAGGATGGAGAACTGAAGAATTTTGGTGCTTTAAAATTCATGAAAATGTTGAAGGAGGCCACTTGTTTGTCCCAGCTACCCAGAACCAAAATAATCACACAGAAACTATATTAGTTAAATCATTGCTTGGCCCATTAGCTCTAGCTTCTTATTGGCTAACTCTTACATATTAATTTAACCCATTTCATTAATCTGTGTATTGCCACAATGCTGTGGTTTACCAGCTAAGGTTCTGTCCATTTCCCGTAGGGCTACATGGCTTCTCCCTGACTATTCCTTCTTCCTCCCAGCTTTCACTTTAGTTTTTCCTGCCTAAGTCCTGCCCTGCTATAGGTCCAAAGCCGTTTTTTGATTCACTAATGGTAATCACGCCATTCAGATGGGAATCCCACATTACTTCCCCTTTTCTGTTTAAATAAAAAGGAAGGTTTTAACTTTAGAATAGTAAAATTACATATAACAAAAAAATACAGTTATCAAGCAAGAATTACAGTTACAATATATCTATTTTATTTTTTATCACAACTAAGGAAAACTATATCTACTCTTCAACTCCTTTAAAGACTCCAGAAGGATACAATATTGCCTAAGTTAACAGGCAGTGCATTATAAGCAACTTCCAAAACTCTAGAATTGACAGAGACTTCTTGTTACCTGGACAGTCACCCAGAGTTTTTCTGTATCATTGGGGCATATATCTTCAGCCTACAGGCCCATAGTATCTGGCAGATTTTTCCTTGTAACTGGAAATTCAAAGACAGTTCCACCTATATTGGCAGTTTGTCAGTCACTTTCTTCTGTGTCCTGCAGGAGTTCTGGCAGACTCTTTCATGAAGCAGGAACCCTTAAGGATTGTCTCACCTTTAGGCAAGTTCAACAGTCATTTCTGTTTGGGTCCTGCATGTCCAGTTCATCAAGTAGTCTAAATGGTTAGCAAACTTCATACGAAGCTTCTCCAGTGCCCATCTTTCTCTTGAAGTTATTGGTGCTGCCAGGAGCAGATGTATCTCACTGTCATAAAAAGTTTTAAGTTATTAAAACATTTTAAATGCCATATTCGGAAGATCTCTGAAAGATTTGAAGAATACCTAACCATCTGAAAGACATCTCTGTACATTTAGAAAAATCTAACTAACATGACTACAAGCTTGACTATTATAGATGATTATCTATTAACCTATATTTCTTAATTATACATTACATTTTTAAGTGAACTACACAATCACAATATCTTAATCAAGAGCAGAAATACACATATAACAAGATTGACCTTAAATTTGCATCAATAAACCAAGATCCATACCAGTGCAAATCTGTATAGCATATCACCCTTTAAAATATAAAGAAACATTTATAAACATTATTTGGGAATTTGGGCATAGTACTCTCTAAACTGCTTTCTGCTGTTTAATGGGTGAGGTAATTTTTTGAGGGTTGTTCAAGGCGACCTATCAGTGGGTCTTGGTCCATCAAATCATATTAACCTGGAAGAATTCACAGGTTCTCATCCTCTGTGGAAACAAAAGAAAAACCTCTTTTCCAAAGCAGCCTATCCTTAGACTCAAATTTTGAATTCAAGATACCCTTGAAATACATATGTTCATTACTTAGCTCCTTCAGTCAAAAAAATCAAAGAAAACACAATAATATTCATCATCCAGACTCCCTTTGCACATTCCATCTTTATGTGGCTTATTTTCCTTTACATCTTTTAATCTATGACTGTCTGTACTCTGTCTCCTTAAAGGCTTTATTTTATTTTTTTAACTATTTACTTATAATTTTAATAACTCTTTATACTCTTTTTCTCCTCTCTCTTAAGTCTACGTACATTTTTTAAACACACTGAGCTTAGAGGTCTTTTTCATCTGAATTTGCCTTTATGGTGTATCTTTAATTATTTTCTGTCCAGGAGTGCTTCTTAAAATGCTAAGTGCTTTTTAAGAATATAAACTGCTCCATTGCTAGGGTATATACGGTACTTCCTGCTTGTTCCACACAGGCTGACATGGTGGAAGTCCATTCACAACCTCTGCAAGTCCTGCATATTGCCCCAGTTCTAAATATGCAGCAGGTTTGTGTTGAGCCACATGCTGCTTACAAATCCCATTTAAATATTCGGTCTTTTGAATGAGCCAGAGGTGATGCTGGCAGCATGGCCCAGAAAGCTGGCATTTCAAAATGCTCAGCTTTTTTCCTGCTACTGCTGAATCAGGAAAACTTCTCTTAAAGGAACTGTGGCATGCCACCAGGAGACATCAAGAAG